CATCTAGGGCAGGTCATTCTGGGAGATTTTCATTGTTTGTGCTCTGATGGCTGTTTTTTTCAGGCACTGTCTTTTTAGGACTCTGAGTTTTTCCATTGGTTTTTCCTCATTTGTGACAGGTCTCTTTTCTTTCTCTATAACTCCATCACTTAGTGAGAGAGGGAGAAGCATTCACTTCCACTGCTTGCTCCACCCTGTGGCAGGTTACCATAATTGCAGGTTCTCGCTGGCTGCTAAACTAGTCAAAGCAGTTTTCAGTCCCGGCTGCGTGTGACCCATGGCTGGGGGTGGGTGGTAAACTGACTCATCTTAGAATTGCTCACCTCACTACTTCACCAGGGGGGATTTCAGTTCCTATACTAGCCTGGTGCACAGGGGGATAGGGCACCCGCATCCCCGTGCCTGCCATTGCTTTCTGGTCTCTGTGTACAAGGAGTCCTTTGCTGGGTGCAGAGTGTATAGGCAAGAGAGGCACCAATCTGTTTCTCCACTAGTTGCAGGCAGTTATTTTCCTGCCTGGGAACTGGTTGCCACAGTGGCCAGCCAGCAGGCAGGTTTCTCATCTCACTTGGGCTTTGGTTGCCCTCCACTATGTCCTGACCAAAACTCCTCCCACATGGGGCCAATAGCTTGTGCATGACAGGGAGGCAGTGAACTGACTCTAATACTCACCCCTGTCCTTCACTGAGCAAAGTTTCTGACTTTGATCCTGGAACAGGGCAGGGGGTGGGACACCCAGATTCCTGTACCTGCCATGCTTTTTGGTCTCTGTGCGTACAAAGAAACCCTTGCTGGGTGAAGGTATATCAGCGGCTGGCTCCCTACTCTGTCTTGTTTGGAAAGCATGGCACCGGTCTGCTTCTCCACTAGTTGCTGGCAGTGGGCATACCAGTCAGATGCACTTTGCAGGCAGGCTTTTTCCTGCTTGGGAACTGGTTGCCACAGTGGCGGCCAGTGGGCAGGTTTTATTTCTCATTTCACTTGGGCTCCGATAGCTCCCTCTGTGTCCTGACCAAAACTCATCCTTCATGGGACTGGCAGCTCACCCACGGTGGTGAGGAGGTTGGTGAACTGTCTCAAAACATTTAGAATCACTCACCCCTCTCCTTCACCAAGCAGAGCTTCTTTGTCAGAGCCTGGAAGAAGACAGGGGGTGGGGTGCCTGAAGTCCTGTGTCTGCTATTGTTTTCTGGCCTCTGTGTGCTCAAAGCAATCTCTACTGGGTCCAAGGTATATTACCCACCCAAAAGTGTTCAGGGCGCCTGCATCAATGTATCTTTCAGAGTATTTCACATCAGTATATGTAGAACCACCTTAATTTTTAAATAGGTGCAGGATTATATGGATACTCTATAATTTGTTCAGCCAAACTACAAGTGATAGACATTTGGATTGTTTCTGATACATTTTGCTGTTACAAATAATGCCTCCATGAATGCTTGTACCAAAGAGTTATTTCTCATTTATGTGAGCATATCTGATAGATTCTTAAGAGAGGAACTGCAGTGTCAAAGAATGTATACATTTTTTATTTTGATATATATAGTTAACCCTTTCATCACCCTAGGATTGTACCAATTTATCCTCACACGAGACATGGTTGAATGTATACCATGCATGAATGTGCCTGTTTCCCCACCCCTGGCCAGCAAAATGTGAGATCAAACTTTGCCTTTGACAATCTGATAGACCAAAAATGGTATCTAGTAGGAAATGTAATTTGCATCTGGGGGGATTTTTTTGGCAGCAAGGAACACTGAGTCACAAGTGTCAGCTGCATTTGTGCCTCCCCCAGTCCAGACAGCACCCCTGAGTTAGCAAAAGGTTCTCATCCTTGAGAAACTTGACTGCAATCTGCTAGAAGACCATCTTGATAACTGAGGAAATGAGTGGTGACCAGATTGCCTAGAATTAATGCAGCAGAAGTGACAGCTACAGGACAAGAATTCAAGATGCGTGGCAGTGGAGCACGAGGGCCTCAGCTTGAGAGACAGCCAGAAGGGATGGGAACTTCATCATCCATGGATTATACACTTGGAACCTAGGGCCTGAGCAACTCTGATTTGGCCAGTGGGCTCATTAAGCTCTTAAGAAAAGTGGGCCTAATTAATGAATTAACACAACATGACATGTTACACACAGAGCAAAAACGAGACCAGGCACCACTGAGTTATGCAACATCATAATTTCTTGAGCATATGTGATCACTGCGTCTCGCCTGCCAAAGTACAGAGAGGTCTGAAGAAAGCCTGCTTTCAGAGACATAACTGAGCCCATTAAGTTCCACCACATTTTATATTCCATGCATTTTAAAGGGCTCCCACTTGTATTCTTAAAACAGAAGTCAGCATTTTAAAATCTCTGGACCATTTGTTTTCTGTGTGACAGTCTACCCACTTTCCTCCTTTAAGAAATGCGTCTCACTGAAATGGATCTCAGTCTGTCCACATCTTCTCCCTCATCAACTCTATCCCTCAAAAGATGAGTTTCCTGGCTTCTCCAATCCAGAGAAGCTGGTGAGGATGAGGGTAAGACTGTGGACACTTATAGCTAGCATTACCAGTGAGGGAAGGTGAAGCATTCTGGAGCTGGATGGTAGTGAGGGCAGCACAACAGTGAGAATGCACTTGATGCCACTGAGTCACACACACAAAAACGATTAAAATGGGAAGTTTCATGTTATGTGTATTTGATCATCATGCACTCCAGTTGGGGTGACAAGAGTGAGACTCCAACTCAGAAAAAATAATACTCTTTTACAAAAAAGAACTAGCATTGTTAAGTGTAAGCCCTTGCCAGGCTCTGTGCTTGGCACTTGTGTGTGTACCATACGTTACCTTCCCGAGAGTCCAGGGAGGCCTGTGTTGTCTTCCCAGCAATACCACTATTTACAGACAAGGAGGCAAAGGCTCATGAAGGTGAATAACTTGCCTGAGCTCGAACAGCTGGATATGAATTCCACCCCAAGGCTCCCTGACCCTGAAGCTCTGCACATGAGATTACAAAACAAAGAAGATACTTTAATTGAAGCCTGAATTCTGAAACATAAACACACAAGCCCCCCACCCCCCACCCCCCACCCCCAAATCAACGATCTGAGCTGAGAACAGACAGAACTTTTGGCTGGGCTGGTATTTGCTTCTTTGTGTGACAGTGACCACCAGGGATTAGAGGATCTTTGTAGTTTTCAGATCATGTTTGGGTGTGACTGGAAAGAAAAATTAACACACAGATCTGGAAGCTTGAGGAGAAAGGTCTTCATTTGTCTCAGATTGGGATTATTTGGGGAATCACGAAAGGTTTACATCAGGAAAAGAGGGAAGAGTTTTTTTTAGCTTAAGGTTTTTTGAAGTAGAGATAGCTGGGTTCTAGTCCTGCTCTTCTGCTTACCTCTGATGTGCCTTAGATAAATTAATTCACTGCTATCAGTCAATTTGCTTATCTGAAAATTAGGAAAAACAGTAGCATCCACATTACCAGGGTGAATAAACAGATTTTCTTCATTGAGTGTCTGTGTGCCAGGCACCATCCTACCCTCTGGAGACACAGCATAATGAACAGCACAGATGCTCAGCTAGTGACACACCCGTGCCAGGACAGGACACAAGCCATCAGAGGCCATAACAGCTGCTGCCTTGTGGCTACATATTGGCCCCCATGGCCCCCAAACCCTCTTTGGTGCTTCATAGGGAGCAAGTACAGACCTCAGGTCGCCAAATGTACTCACTTGGGCTGCATTTAAGTCACCTTTCCAGCATGGCTGCAGCGGCAGAGACAAGGGGTCCCTGGCTTTCCATAAGGAGAGGCTACTCTGGTTTCCTGGGCCCACCCGCCTCTTCTGTAGCTGCTGACAGCTCTTACCTGAGGACTTGAAGTGTGGCTCATCAGCACGTGTGGCAGAAAGTATTAGCTGCAGGGAGATGTGCTCCAGGCCCTAACCCTGGGGCCTCTGAGGACATGCCAGTGGAGTGCTTGTCGGTCCTGTACAGCAGCACTGGGTGGGACTCTGAAGTAGACCCTGGGCTCCAGTCACACACAGCCTCTTTCCTCCAAACATATGACATTGGTCGGGGAGCCGATCTCTCAGCTTACAGAAGAGGGAATGGCGCCCTTTCATGGAGTCGTTATGAGGCAAGGAGATGTGGTGGCAAAGCCCATGTTTGTGTGTGCTGAGCATACGCTTGTAGCTCCGTGTTCTTGCTGCTGATTGGGTGCCTGATGGGTAGTGACTGACTCCTTTCGTGCTCACAGAAGCTGGGAACTGGGCACTGCTCCTGTCTCCATTTTGCAGCCCACAGACGAGGCACTTCCAAAGAGTATGAACTCGCAAGTCGAGGGTCTGGGACTGGGCCCCGTGTGGCCATCGAGCCCGTGCTGTTAGCCCATGCTGTGCTGCTCCATCTCCATAGCCCCACATGGATGTTCATGCCTGTTCCCAGATAGTACACTTTCCGGGCTTTTTTAAAACTTCATTGAGGTATTGTTTGCATCACATAAAATTTGCTGCTTTAAGTGCACGGTTCCATGAGCTTTTGTAAACTTGCCAGTTGCAACCATCACCATCATCCAGTGCTGAAACATCTCCTTCCCCCCAATGAGATGCCTCCTGCCCCCTGACAGTTCAGCTCCTGGCCTCTCCTGCTCTGACAACCACTGATCTACTTTCTGCCTCTCTGAATTTGCCTTCCTGGACATCTCTTATAAATGGAAGCACACAATATGGGATCCTTTGTGTCTGGCGTATTTTACTGCGTGTTTTGAGGTCCATCCATGCTGTAGAATGTACCAGTGTTTCTAACTTCTTATGAACAAGTATCACCCAACTGTGTGTTTTGAGATCTATCCATGCTATAGAACGTATCACTCAACTGTATGGACTTACCACGTTTTGTTCATCCATGCAACGGGAGTTACATCTGGGTGGTTCCCACTTTTTGGCTGCATGAAACACCAAGAGGGTCCTCAGGTAACCGCTATCTCCTCTCTCTGGGGTTTCCTAGAACCAGGCAGCGGGCAGGTGTTCGTGACCTCGGGGAGCCAGCTGGCATACTACCCTAGCATCACCTATGCCATCATCGGCAGCTCTGTCATCTTCGTGCTGGTGGTGGCCCTGCTGGCACTGGTCTTGCACCACCAGCGAAAGCGGAACAACCTCATGACTCTGCCTGTGCACCGGCTGCAGCACCCTGTGCTGCTGTCCCGCCTGGTGGTCCTGGACCATCCCCACCACTGCAACGTCACCTACAATGTCAACAATGGCATCCAGTATGTAGCCAGCCAGGCTGAGCAGAATGCGTCGGAAGTGGGCTCCCCACCCTCCTACTCAGAGGCACTGCTGGACCAGAGGTACGTGCTGGAAGAGACGGCGGGTGGGGGGAGGCGGGGACCTCATCCAACGTGAGGGGAGAAGATATGCGTGCACCTGGCTCCCTAGGTCCTGCCAAGAACCTGGATCCAGGGGCTGAGGCGGCAGCAGTGTCTGGCACATCTTGAGTCCTGACAAAATGCTCCTCAGGTGTCATCTCATTTAACTCCCCAACAGCTCACTCAGGAAGGCTCTGCATTTGCCTTAATTTGATAGATGAGGAAACGGAGGCCCTGGGACATCAAGTCACTCATCTGAGGACATGCGGTTCATCCTCGTCATCTCAGAGACCTGCTCCCCCCGGGAATGCCACACTGGTACTCGTTCAGGCCACTTGCTGGCTCTGGGCCTCGCCTGCTACTGCAGAGCCATGCCCAGTATGTGGGAGAGGCTTGGCTAAGATCTGCCAAATGCATCAGTGGATGAGAGACTAAATACATTCCTTAACTTAGCTTGGCTTCATCTGTAAGATAATGGGAGTGGAATACAGCACCCTCAATTTTTTTAGGCAGTAGGGCACTTGTTACAAATGGAATTGTGCCAGAAACCCCAATGTATAAAGCCAGAAGCAGAGTTCAGTAGCTGAAGTGGGTCATGGACCTATTCCCCACACAGTGTCTCCTTCCATCAGGCCAGGCATCAGGCACGTAACAGGGTGTGTTCCCAGGGCAGCTGCCTCTGCAGGGGCAGCTCTTGTGTTATTTAACCTTCTGTCTTCCTCTTCATCAAAGGTAACCCAAGCCTGGGGGTCAAGGGAGGGAGTAGCATGTGGGGCAAATAAGCAGAAGCACTTGGAGTTAGCACTTCTGCACATAAGTGTGAGAATGGAGACCTCCCTCACCTAACAAAGGTCCCAGTTACAGCCTCTTCATTTGGACCACCCAGTCAGGGTAGGTTGAAATTGCTGAATCTGGGATGGAATGCCTAGGTTCAAATTCCAGTCTTGCTGCATACTAGTTATTTGTGATCCTGGGCAAGACATCGAAGGCCTCCGTGCCTCAGTTTCCTCCACAGTACAACAGGCAAAAAGAAAGGCCCACCGTGTAGCATTCTTGTGAACATCAAATAATGTCAGATGCACAGCCAAGTGCCTGGCTCACAGGAAACCTGCAGTGAGCTACAAAGCCTGAGAGAGCTAAAAATGAATTGTCTTTTCTGTTAAATTCATCCATTCAAGCCCCTTCTATACATAGAGACAGGGACATTGAGAGGATGTCTTCTCACTTACCCCCGTTTGCAGCCAGGAAGAACCTTTCAGAAGAACCCAAAGTCTGTGTACTTATTCACAGTCCAGTCAAGACACCAGCCCAGCCCCTTGGTGCCGGGCTTTGATGGACAGAGCCTAGTGGCTCTGCCAGGCCACCCAGGATGAGCAGCGGGGTTCACTGGACAGCCTCATGCTGGGTCCACCATGAGGGTTGATTTGGGCACTGCTCAGTCAACACAAATCAGCCAGGACACTGAGCTCTTCTGTCTTCTTTGTCTTGTTTCAGGCCACCGGTTTTCCTGGTCCTTGAATTTCTGTGGGACTTGGAGGAAAACTCTAATTTCCCACCGGAAGCCTTATCCAGAAGTGGGCTAAAGTTGGCATGGGTTAGCGCTAACGTGTTCTCTTCTCTCTCCTCTCTCCACTTCCCCACCACCCAACCTGCTGTCCCCTTTGCAGACCAGCATGGTACGACCTTCCTCCACCACCCTACTCTTCTGACACAGAGTCTCTGAACCAAGCCGACCTGCCCCCCTACCGCTCCCGGTCGGACAGTGCGGACAGCGCCAGCTCCCAGGCAGCCAGCAGCCTCCTGAGTGTCGAAGACACCAGCCAGAGCCCAGGGCATCCTGGCCCTCCAGAGGGCACTGCAGATCCCAGGGACTCTGTTCTGAGCCAGGGCACTGAAGAAGTATAGATTCCAGTTATTCCAAAGTCCATGTGGGTTGGTCTGCTCTGACTTGTAACCATTCTAACAACTTGTGCTCACGGGAAGCTCTTCAAGCACCTGTAAGTGTATCTCGACTTGCAGTTTGGGGTGCCAGCTATTTCCCCATTCCCCTCCTCCCCAGTTTCAGGGATGTTTTTTCTGGCCTCTCTGCTGACATGGTCTGTTGTGTACCTTTTCTGTGAGGTCATGCCTCCTTCAGGACCCAGGATCACCACCTCACATTTTCTGTCACTCTTCCGTTTCTGTGGGGCAGGCTACAGGGTAACCTGATGCTGAAATCGTCTTGACAAAGCAGTGTTTCTGTGCCATGTGCAGTGCTCAGAAGGGCAGGAGACACCGGACAAGATCCTCTCTGCTGGGCTGCTCCATGACAGCACTTGGGGATCTGGGTTGGGTGATCCACCAGGAAGTTGTCAGGGGATGGCTGCCCTAAAACATCCCAGTGAGCCTCAAAACCTGCCTTGCACAGCCCTATGCACTACCCTCATTTCAGCAGTCAGTGGCCAAAGAAAACTTTTGGCATAAGCAATACCCTTCTGCCATCAGCAATGCCATTGTGCTTTTGTGAAGGACTCTGAAACCATCTATCCTTCCGTTTAGAGATGTTTCCAAGGACGCTTGTTTTGAGAGCTTTCTTCAGCAGTGAATGTCATCAGCCTTGTGCCAGAATAGGGAGAGGGGCCCTGCCATGAGTTCTGAGCTTCTAAAAATGTGGGGTGCCTTGACCTCAAGTCACTTCCCTGCTTCCTGGGTTGTCACCTCCCAGCTTACCTGCCCATAGACAAAGAAAGAAGACCTCACTTGAGTTGGCCAAAAACCTGGCCCGGCCCTTTGTCCCTGGGAACCACATCCTGTGTTGCTCCTTCTTGCAGCCTCGACACTAGCCTCTGAAGGGCCCTTATCACTGTCCAGCCCCTTCGACCTGGGCGTTTGGACTTGAGGACTCTGTTCTCCAACTCACGTGAGAGCCGTATTACTGAACCTCCTGTGAGCACTCCTGGCCCCCTGCACTGCACACACTCCCATTCCCAAGGTCCCAGTTCCATTCCAGCAACCCAGGTTAGGGTCAGGGTTAGGGTCGGGCCTCTGAGACACATGGGCAGTAGACAACTGGGAGTCAAGATTTTCCATTTGGATTTTTAAAAATCTTTTAGAAATGCATTTGAAACAGTGTGTTTGTTTTTTCCCTTCTAGCTAAGGGACTATTTATATGTGTATAGAAAATCTGTCTCTCTTTTTGTTTTTCCTTTAGCAACGTCCAAAGAAAGATGCAAAATGCCTTTGCCCTGCTGAGCCCATGATAACAAGTTACTCCAGACTAACCTGTGTGCCAGACGTTTGTGCATTGTTGCACTTTGAGGTTATTTATCGAGTTCTTGAAGGATGCAGAAAGAGGGAGTCCTCTCTCCCTCAGTTTATACTCTCTCTGTGTTAGTTTTCTTCTTCCTCTGTGCCCAGCCAGCCACAGGGCCTGCCTTCCCAGGGGAGTAGTGGGTAAAAATTAGGCGTTTTAGGCAAGAAGCCACCCTGACAGATGCATAAAACTGGAACCAGGTGGGGCCACTCCAGTCAGCTGTCACGCACCGGGACTTCTTCCACAGCCAAGGAAACGCTCAGTGGTCTCTCTGATGCTAATTTAAACAGCCTGCAGGAAAAGGGGTGGAGAGACAGTCAATGATCCTGCTCTATAGACTTTTATTTCTTTTTAAACCAAATTCAAAATATGTTACAGGAAAGCTAGACACTTGGTGTTTTGTTTGTTTGTTTAAGTAAAGAAAAGGAACCTAGTTGCTTGTATCTTTCATTTTTAAAATAGCACTTCAGTTATTTTCTGTTAATCCAATAAAAAAAAAAGTTTGATGACAACCAGAATGTTCTAGGAACTATGGTTAAGCGTTTCCTCTCCTGTGAGTCAGAAGGGCTTTATTTCTCCCTTTGATGGGCCCCTGCTTCTTTCTGGTGCTCTGGAAGTTGTTTAGAGGAAGGATTCTAATTTTAATTAATTGTGCAGTGATAACTCTCAGGCTCTTTTCTGCTTCCAGGCAACTTAGGAAAAACAAATGGTTTTTGTAGATAAGGGAAGACTATTAATGTTGTTTTTAAAAACAAACACAGGGACATTTTTTTATTATAAATTTGATTTTTTTAAATGAATGTTTTAAAAAATATATAAATAAGACACCAAAGCTGCAGGATTTGGGGGATTTTGTTTCTTACTCAAGATGGCAAATAAGTGTTGAGCAATACTTTTTAACTCATTCCAACCAGGATTTTTTTTAACACATTGTCTAAGCCTACGCTAACCAGAAAATGATCTTTGCTTTCTTTCCTCAAACGAGATAAGTTTTTTATTTTAGAATTACAATAATTTCACTATGATTGCTAGCTCGTCTCCTGACTCAATTCCCTCTACCTTGCAATTAACATTAAAAAAAAATACAACTGAGTGGTAAATAGTGTGTGATGTTCAAAGTTAATGTAAACTGGAAAAGTTGTGTGTGATTGCTTTTTGGTTTTTTTGGTTAGGCTCGGTTTTGTTTTCTTTTATAATTTTATACTTTCAAATAAACTTGCAGTTTCATTCTTCTTATCTGCACGAATGGTTCTTGACCAGCCTCTCTCCCTCATAGGGGTGTAAAGAGTGGCCAGTCCTTCTGGCATAGCTTCTGCAGTGAATACATGCCATAGCAAAATGAGAAAAAAGGAAGAATATACTGATTGCACTTCAAAATGTGGTGGACACGTAAAGATTTCACAGAGGTAAAATTGTGAGCACTGGTTAGTGTCATGGATCCGGGGAAGTCATATCAAAAGATGGGTGAGCCTGCCTTTGTTGTCACGTTGTTCAAGGAAAATGGACAAGTGGCTGTGATAGCTGTAACAGATTCTGACCAAATATTAAGGGTACATGCTGCAGCTCTTGCACAGGTGTGTTGGTAATTAGTTTCAAACCACAAACAGTTCAGATTAGCCTCACCAGTGATGGGAACATCTTTGTGCTCCTGTAAGTCTAATTTTAGAGCCATGTGACATTTGCATTGGAAGTCAGGATGCCCACCTGACTTCTATAGGCCACCACCACCACCACCATGAACACGAGCTGTAACTCCAGCCCTGGCAAAAACTGAAACCAAATGGAAATCCAAACACAAGACCTGCAGAACCAAAATTTAGATCATGTATTGGGCCCAGCTCTTTCACAAAGAAGACTGAGCTGTCGGGGGATCTCAAATACACGCTCTGCTGTGTCCTGCTCCAAGTGGGCTAGAGTAAGACCTTCTCAAGCCAATCCCCAGAGATATGTCAAGACACTTGTATCTTCATCGCTCAGGTACCTGGTCAATGCCTTTGCTATGGATGCCAGTGCTGTGCAACAACTGTAAGGCATAGCCTAGAGTGGAGGTCATCCAACCTTCTGTGAGGGGCCAGCTAGTGTATACTTGTGGCCAGTGGCTGTATGGTCTCTGTAGCAATTATGAAAGTGGCCATAGACAGTATAAAAACGAGTGAGTATGCCTGTGTTCCAATGAAACTGTTTACGAAAATAGGCAGCTGGCTAGATTTGGCCTATGGGTGCTCGTTATTCAAAGACCTAAAGGATCATTTCCAAATTGGGCTCACAGATTTAGAGCTAAAGGCACTGTAGAAACAATTGTGTTAATGGCCTGGAGTCTTAGAACCTTCAAAAAATTAAAAATGAAAAAAGACCTCATGAAGCAGGCAATTCAAGGCGCCAATTAGCTCTCTTCCAATAAATGAGAAAAGCAGGATTAAGATGAATAGAGTCTTTCTTAGTGGGGTTCTAAACAGTTGGGTTGAATGTAGAGCACCTAGTCAAAAACTCTCTCTGGGGGTTTTTCAAGGTCAGAACTCAGACAGAGAAAGTCAATGGAAGTGAGTGACCTGAAGTTATTGGCCATATTCTCCACTTAGCCGGCAAAGTGATAAACAATGAGAGAGGTTGCGATGACTGCAATGGTGTTGTAATGAGAAACCTCATGTAATGTACATGAGGAAAAGGTGAGACGCTCAGGAAAAAGGTCAGTGATAACATTCAACAAGTTCTATTACTTATAAGTAATAGAAATCTAGAAAGTCTAATGCAACCAAGGCCAAGGGTATGGAACCATGGGTTTCAAGTAGAACTGGGTCTAGTTGCTTAACAGCTGTCATTAGGAATCTGTATCTCCCTCGCCAGTTGCAGCCTGCTTTGCTCAGTGTTGGCTTCAAGGAAAATAATCTCAGAAGACCAAGGTTCATTATCTCAGAAGAGACATTCTGTCTTGGATTCTGTAGGAACTTCTTTAAATAGACTCATGACTGGTCATCTTTGGCTTGTGACCCATAGTGGCTGAGACTCAGTCACTTGATTGACAGCCTCATCTGAATTATATAGAGTGGGAAAGGGATGATTCCCATGTGGAAGAGTCTGTCAGTAGACAAAACACCAGTATATCTACTATAAGACCTCACCAAAGAATGAGACCCGCAACTGGCACAACTTTGCATACACATAAGAAAATAGCATACAACTACAAGCTTCAGGCAACATAGCCCCACACAGTAAATGGTCTGAAAAGAGCAAAGACAATGTTACAGTGAAAATCTCAGGAGACTCAGCAGGCTTCTGAGACCTAGGAGGCAAGGTCAGTTTCAGGTTGGTCTTGTATCATATGCTTTTATGAGATAGTCGTGAATAAATCCACATAAGAGGAATTCTACCCTAAAGATGCCTGAAATATTTCACGGACTCCACAACTGTCTCCAAACCAATGAAAGTGCTAGAATGGGGCAGTTAGCCCACCAAGAGTCTCCCCAATCTGCACAGTATTTTATGCTGATGGATCAGAGATACATTTGCATTTATGGCCCTTGTCAAGATACCTAAAGAACTAGACTTAAGTATGCATGTTGTTAACTAGACTCTGCATAGTTAGCCTTTTTATCTACAGCTAAAAGTAAGGATGCATCAATATCTGGAGAACAGCCCATTGAAAACTTGGGATCAGCTGGCGTAGTAGCAGCTGAGGGGCTACAGTCTCAACAAATTTAGAGCTTGAAGACATAATCATGGAGGACTATGATGCAGTACTGGAGGAAGCCTATTGACTTAAATATGTCCCATGCCTCAGTTGGGCTGAGTCTGTAGTCTGAACAAAGGTAATTCTCTCT